ATTTTAATTACCGTATATCTTGGTGTGTACCTCCTTGGGTTGACTTTGTTGGCAGATGTCTGTGCCTCCTGAATATGGGTTTCTGTTTCCTTTCCTAGATTCAGGAAGCTTTCAGCTATTATTTGTTCAAGTAAATTTTCTGCCCCCATTTCTTGCTCTTCTCCTTCCAGGATTCCTATAATATGAGTGTTATTATGCTTGATAGTGTTGCCAAGTCCCCTAAATATGTTTTCATTTTGTATTTTTTTTTTCTCTCACCTTGTGTCTTGATTCTTTCCATTACTCTATCCTCCAGGTCACAGATCCGTTCTTCTGCTTCCTGTAGTCTACTATTTATTCCATTAAGTGTATTTTTAATTTCAGTGAAGTTCTTAATCTCTGAGTCTTCTTTATGTTTTCTTTGTCTCTGTTAAGGGTCTTACTGAGGTCCTCCACTCATTTCTCTGTGAGTATCTTTATGACCATTATTTAAATTCTCTCTCAGGTACATTACTTACCTGTTTCATTTAGCTCTCTTTCTGTGATTTTTTCTTTTTCTTTCATTTGAGACACATTCTTGTGTCTCCTCATTTTGTCCAGCTCTCTGCATCTGTTTCTGTGTGTTAGGAAGATCAGCTACATCTCCTGCTCTTGAAAGCAGTGGCTTTATGAAGAAGAGTTCCTGTAGTGTCCTGCAGTGCAGCATTCTCCAGAACCTGGTGCGTCAGGGGCATCTTCTGTGTGTGTTGTGTGCACCTTGCTGTTGTGGCAGAGCCACCTTTTTCTTCAGTCCAGTTGTGTGCGACAGCGCTCTTTATCTGTTGTGGGCACTATTTGGTCCCTCTATTGTTAGTGTTTGGAGCCACCCTGGGGTGGACAGTTGAGTCAGACCAGACATTTTCCAGAGAGACAGTATCACCAAACTGCACAGCACTTTGCCTGTGTTGTCCCCTTAGAGGCTTTTCTTAGTGGACAGTGCCTGCGATTAGACCAGCAGTCTGCCCCTAGCCCACTGCTGGGGCTGCATTCAGACTGGTATATGTGGTTTGTCTTTTCTTCTCCCTGGGGCAAGAGTCACTTTGGAGTGGTGCTGGCCCCTGTTGGGGCTGCTCGTGCACTTGAAGTCTTTCTGTACCTCTTTGGATGGGCTCTGGCAGAGAGCTTTTTGGAGGGGGTGGATCCACAAAACATGTAGGAGCAGGAGGTATGTTGCTAGCAAGTTGAGTAGCAAGTGTCTGCATCCCACTGGTTCCTGCACGTGGCCATGTATTTAGACTGGGGCATGGACAGGGTGTGAAATGGCACCTGCCATCCAGCTCCTTTGTTTCTAGAGAAGTCTCCCAAGGATCCCTGTACCTCTAGCACATGCTCTGAGATGAATAAAAAATTTCCCTCCCCTACTTCGCAAGTGTTTTATCAGCTGCTGCTTCTGTGGTATATCTCTGCAGGTTGTTTTTTGTGCTGTCTCTTTAAACGAGGACTGTTTCCTCTCACCCTCCTGGCCAAGCTCGTTGATTTTTTTTTTTTTAAAGATTTTATTTATTTATTTGACAGAGATCACAAGTAGGCAGAAAGGCAGGCAGAGAGAGGAGGAAGCAGGCTTCCCACTGAGCAGAGAGCCCGATGTGGGGCTCGATCCCAGGACCCTGAGATCATGACCTGAGTTGAAGGCAGGGGCTTTAACCCACTGAGCCACCCAGGTGCCCCCAAGCTCGCTGATTTTTAAAGTTCTAGGTTTTAAGTCCCACTGGTTGTAAGAACTTATGAAATTTAACCCCTTTGGTTTTCAAAGCCAAATGTTATGGGAATTTGTCTTTCCCAGCAGGCTTCCCCTCAGTGTGATAGTATGTTTGTCTCCTGTCTCTCTCCACATGGAGTTTCTCCCTCCCAGGGAGGGTCCTGCAGGTCTTTTTAGCTCCCCACTGCATCTCTGGCCTTCCTATCCTCTTCATTGTGTCCTCTTCTCTTTATTTAGCTATGAGTTTGTTCTTCCAGTCGTTGGGTCATTTTCTGAATTATTTATACCACTGTTGAGTGTTACCTAGTTGTATCTGTGGGATGAGGTGAGCTTAGGGTCCTTCTACTCTACCATCTTCCTTAGAATGTACCTTGATCTGTGTTTCATATCCAGTATTATTAGTTCTTATTGTGTATCTAGAAGAGAAGTATATAGCTTATTATCAAACTAATCGTGGAGATGATGTAGCAAAAATGCCTTCTGTTGGTTTGTCTGTTACCACAGTTCATTTACTATTTCCTGCTAGATACTGCTTTCCCATCCTCCAGATGTTATTCAGTAACCACATATTGAGTGCTTCTTTTGGTTTTGCTTTCTCCTTGGTGCTGTGGGGAATTAAAGGACTTTAAGACTGACTCTGCCCACAACAGACTCAAACAGTCCAGGATCTCCCCAAGTCAACCTTACCATACCTATACCTGTACCTTCTTTTTTCTCAGGTATACCTTATACATTACCACTTCCATGCCTTTGTTCAAGTCAGGAGCCAAAAAGCAAGGGAAAGAACATAAAATATGGAACCAGAAAGTGTGTGTTTCAGGGGCAAGTATATCCATTTTCATGTGTAAAATACCTATTGAAATACCCATTTCACAGGATTATTGTGAGAACTGAGAGAAATGATAGTTCATGGTGTCTGGCACCTGCTTGGTACTTAATATGTATTTTCCCTTCTTCAACTCCTTCACAAATCTTTAATTTCTGGTTCAAGTCCTTTTTCCTTTGTGGATCTATCTCAGATGACTCTGGTGATCTTGACCAAGGTTAATTCCTCCCTCTTTAATGTTCCCTATTCACTGACTATATCAGTATTTCTCGATCACTTACATCCTATGACATTAATAGATCTTCTGAGAAAAAGGGTCTTTGTGAACAAAGAAGTTTGGAGATTACTGTATCTTAAAGTTTCCTCAGAGGGTTGGTTTTTTTTTTTTTAAGATTTTATTTATTTATTTGGCAGAGAGAGAGATCACAAGTAGGCAGAGAGGCAGGCAGAGAGGGGGAAGCAGGCAGAGCAGAGAGCCTGATTCGGGGCTGGATCCCAGGACCCTGAGATCATGACCTGAGCTGAAGGTAGAGGCTTAACCCACTGAGCCACCCAGGCGCCCTTCCTCAGAGATTTTAATGCACATGTTCTGAGAAGTCTTGCGGTAAAGAAACCTTGTTACCTTTGTTTAAGCAGGCATTTTTCTAGCAATTGTTAAAACCCTCCACTGCTTGCTGTCTGTCTGTCCCCCCCACCACCACCAGAAAACTGTAACACACTGGGATCTTTTGTTTATGCCATTCATTTGACTTTATACAGTGTTTCTGATATTATTTATACATATTTAATGTCTTATGTATTTATACATTCAGTCTTCATTTAGAAATTAAGTTCCTTTAAGGCAGAGTCCAATGTATATACTTTATTACATATATGGCCTTGAATTTAGTAGATAAAAGTTCTACAGGAGGACTGTGACTTAAAGAATGGATAGAATTTGGTTCTTGATTTTTTTCCTAGATTTCTTTTATCTTTCTGAGCAAATTATATTTTACATTACTAATAAATATATCTTCTTAAGCTTTGTATGCTATACATAGAGAAGATAAATGGTGGCAGGTGTGGAAAGAAGGGGGAGAGTAAAATGGTTTTCCCTTCTCTTACTTAAATCAAATCAGAATACCAGAAAGCTTACAGATTACAGTGCATTCTTTGAGAATGGTGTGTCAATGGAAGATGGATTTGATGTTTAGAAATAGCCAAAAGTTATTGAAACCCACTCTATTATCTAAGGTCAAGCAAATTAACAGGTTTTTTTTTTTTTTAAAGATTTTATTTATTTATTGGAAAGAGCATGCACGTGTACGAACAAATAGGAGAAAAGGCAGAGGGAGAGAGTATCCAAGCAGGCTCCACTGAGCACAGACCCAATGCAGGGCTTGATCTCATGACCCATGAGATCAGAACCTGAGCTGAAAACCAAGAGTTGGACACTTAACAACCTGAACCACCCAGGTGCCCAGCACATTAACAGTTTTTAATGGTAAAAAAAAAAAATGTCCAATGTCTTCAAAGTATTAAGACTCTTTTGAATGGCTTATAAATGGTTTTTTAAAGCAATTTCAGAAAAGAAAGTCTAATAATATTTTGAGCATTGAGAAAATTAGAAGAAGAGGTATATGTTACCTATTAAGATGATGTCTTTGAAAAGTAATAGTCATTTATAAATGTAAGTTTTGTGTTACCTGTTTAAATTAACTGTAATGCAGGACCATTGATTTATAGCTAAGGCTTGTAGTATTTACATAGAGTTGTGTCTTTATTTTTCTTCTTTTCCCCCTCTGATCTTCTTTCCTTTGGCCTTTTTACTTCACAGTTACATAGTGATACAGAGACGGGGAACAAAAAGAAGGTGAAACAATACCAATTTTATTCTTGATTAATGATTTTTATAAAATTCAGTAGTGATTTTTAAATTTCTTTCCTTCCTTCCTTCCTTCCTTCCTTCCTTCCTTCTTTCCTTCCTTCCTTTCGCTGTGCACCCAGTGTGGAGTCCAGCATGGGGCTTCAACTTATGACCCTGAGATCAAGTGTCAGATGCTTAACTGAGCCACCCAGGCACCCCAAGAGTGATTTTAGGCAAGGGAGAATTTTGCAGTCATTACCTGCAATGAAGTTTTGAGATTAGCTACTAATTTAACTATTCGTGTCATCTCTGCCTCTTCTCTTTGCACAAATAATTTAAACTTAGTTGAATAGATAATTGGTATCTATAATTATGACCCAGCCAATTTTGCTCTTGGTCCACTGTGAATGTTTAGCCATGTATTCAGAGTCATTAGTAATTTGGTGCAGGAAATTAGTGAAGAGTATTTTTTTTTTTTTATGGAAGGGGAAGAAAATTGATAAAACTCTTTAGTGGTAATTTACCAAGATGATAAACTAGAAAACTATGAAGTTTTAATTTTAATTTTTAACATATGCTGTAATGATGGAATTTCTATTTGGAATATGCAGGAACTAAGCACAGACAGAGATGCTCCTGAAATTAGCTTTCTGTCTGGTACTACTGCTGAAGTATCTGATGTGGTGGTTGTAAAGGAGAAGCTGTTAGTAGAGCCAGAGATCTTAGCAGCACCAAGTAAGTTTTCTAAGTCTGGAAAGGAAGCCACATTGACCATGAATTCTGAAGAAACCAAGGATGAAGAAAGTTCTCTTAAAACTTTTGTGTCTGCCTTAGAAAGGTTACTCACATCACCAGAAATGGCTCAGGAAGAAAGACTGTTTGAAACAATGAGTGATTTTGAACCTAAAGAGTTGGACAACCCATTGAGCAACTCTCCAAGTTCCATATCAGTATCCTTGACATGTTACAAAGATTTCCTAGAAAATACAAAGGATGATGCATTGCCAGCTGAGTTGTTAGCAGCCATAAACACATTATCAGAAGGCAACGTGGGACCCATATGTCACAGAAAAGAGGGAGGCAGCAGTCTCAGTGCTGGAAATGAGTATTCAGGAATGGAGCCCAAGATGTCTCAGACCAGTGAAGATTGTACACAAATAACAGAGGTGAATTTTGAGTCTCTTTGTTCTGCTCCACCCTTTGAACAAGATTCCAAGTCAGGGGAGCTGCAGGACAAGCATCTTTCACTGCAGCATGTAAGTGCAACTGTGAGTCTCTGATTTTGCCTTTTATAGTGACTTTACCAAGTCTTCATTGCCCATATACTTTATCTTAAATTCAGATCTTCTACCCAAATTTCAACACCCAAAAGATGCTTTTTCAGTTTGAAGCTGATCTCTCTAGAGAGTCCAGGGTAGAGTTTTCAAGGGATTTAAATGTTGAAGTAGTTAAGTTTCTCATCAAAGACCTGAGACTTATCATTAGATTGCTTGTATATAGGAAGGAAATAATTATCTACCAGATTTTTTTCCTGTTAGCTCAGAGAATTGCTATGCCTACCTAGTGTAAAGTAGAGATGAGATACCCCACATTAATTTCTAGTTGAGGATAGAGTATATGCGGTTGGGCTTCCAGGAGAAGGAAGAGTTATGCCTGGCTTCGGCAGAACTTTGCAATCTACATCTGAGGCTACTGTCGGGTCGCAGAGTTCCTGAGGTTTAGAATTCCTGCAGTATTATGCCTGGAGACCCTGCAGTGGGCTACCACTAGCCAAGTCTCTTTTTTATGTTGACAATTTTTTTTCCTTTTTAAAGGAATCTTATTTTTTTTCCTGACTATAATAGTAATACACCCTCATTATTTAAAAAAAATCAAACATTACAGAAATATACATAATAATACAATTTTTGAAAATGTCCCCCCACAATTCCATATTTCACAGTTAATCACTATTAACAGTTTGGTTTATCTGTCTCTAAGTTTTTCTATGCATATTCTATGTAAGTTTATTCTGTATAAGTGAGACCATATTATACATAATACTTTGCGACTTTTTAAAATATTTTTTATGAAAGTATAGTTGACATTTTGCAGCTTTTTAAAATTTGATTATACATCTTGGTTATCTGTGTCAGTGAATGTAGCATACTAAAATCTTTTTACTTGATGAATACTATTCCACTATGTGGATATTTTGTGTGTGGGTGTACGTATATTATATAAATATAATTTATTTAACTAATTCACTAATGATAGTCATTTTAATTTTTTATCTCTTCTCTTTTTTTTCTTTTGGCTCTTACCAGACTACTTTTATGAACATTCTTGGGACAATTTGAATAACACGTTACTAAGCTCATGTTGTAAAATACATACCTGGCATAATACTGCATGCAATTCTCATAGAAAACATCTCAAAACAGACAAAATAAAACTTTTTAAAAATCCAGAAAAAAAAAAAAACTGATCATGGGGATAGGGCATGAAGATTAAATTAAACATTCCAGTATCCTAATCTGAAAAGAGGTAATATAAGTAAAATGTAGGAGATTATAATTGATGGGTATTAACAGAGTGAGCATGAATTTAGCAAGTGTTCAAAAAAAGAAACCCTTTTAAAAGTAAAAAAGAGATTGAGAACAAATTAAATACCCTTTTATTCAACCATAATAAAAATATGGAATTTGGTACACTAAAAAGCTTTGCAAGCTGTATATATAAATAAGCTCTAGAAAGGTTTACATGATATGTGTAAAAACACATGTATCTTCATGAAAGTTAAATCTATAATGGATTCTTTTTTTTTTTTTTTAAAGATTTATTTATTTCTTTGAAAGAGAGAGAAGGGAAGGGGCAGAGGGAGAGAGTCTTTTTTTTTTTTTTTTTTAAGATTTTTTATTTATTTATTTGACAGAGATCACAAGTAGGCAGAGGCAGACAGAGAGAGGGGAAGGAGGCTTTCCGCGGAGCAGAGAGCCCGATGTGGGGCTCGATCCCAGGACTCTGGGATCATGACCTGAGCCGAAGGCAGAGGCTTTAACCCACTGAGCCACCCAGGCGCCCCTATAATGGATTCTTAAGGGAAAGTTAGAGTCATTCGTGATTTACTGGTAACCTTTTAAAATCAATATAATGGAGGTTATATACAGTTTTGTCCCACAAAATACAAACTTCCTACTGTAAAACAACAACCACTGGGCTGAGTAGAACATTGCTCTGGTCTAGTATGACATTTCTACTCTTTTTATATGTCATTTTTTGCTGCCTGTTTCCTATGAAGTTAAAGCATCCAGAGTAACCTTAGTTTTGCCCTTGAATTTAAGGATGAATATTGATAGGAATAATTTTTACTTATGCTCTTCTTATCTTAGACTTTTAAATCCGCTTTAGCTTTTATTATATTATTAAATTTTCATTATGTGGTCTGTGAATTTTTGCACTTTCATATTATAAGAGGCATTTTTTTATAATCAAAGGACAAGATAAAATCTAATTTCTTCTCATTTTAAATTTTTTGCACTGTTACAGTTTTTTGTGTATTTGCATCTTATTACAGACTCTAGAAGATCCAAACTTTGGGCTGCAAACTTTGGTTCATCAAAATGTCACCTCATGTGATCCACTACATAATAAAGGAAATTCAAATTCAGTGAAAAATAAATCTGGCCAGGATACTCCATGTGTGTTAAGGAGATCGTCCAGACTGAAAGCAGGCAGAGATGCAAAGCACACAGATGACTTGTATGAGACTCCAGAAAAGATTGTACCAAAGATTCTTATCAGTGAGGATCAAATAAGTAATATCTCTTCAACTAAGAATTTCAGGTATACTCCCAAATTATATCTTTCTCTTTAGATATGCTACAGACCTTATAGATAATTCTATGCTTGGGACACTAGAGTCAATGCACAGTTACCCCTAAGTGAAGAGCTTTGTTTTTCAGTGTTGTTGCCTTATTTACTGTACAGTTATTTTTTTTTAACCCAGAAGACTCTTCTTTTTTTTTTTAAAGAAGACAGAGTTAAGAGAGATTTGTTGGATTTCAACCTAATTCTAATTTCCATTCTTTCTTTTTTAAATTAAGTTTAATTAGCATCCATCATCACACAGTTACAGAATTTTCTTTTCTTGTCATGAGAATTTCTAAGATTTACTCCCTCCATGACTTCCAACTATGCAGTACAGTACTACTATGTATGTTCTATCCCCAGGACTTATTTATCTTATAAATGGAAGTTTGTACTTTTTAATCACTTTCACTCATTTCACTCACTCCCCACCTCTCTGCTTCTGGACACCATCAATCTGTTCTCTGTATCTATGAGTTTAGGTTGTTTTGTTTGAGATGCCACATATAAGATCATATAGTATTTGTCTTTCTCTGTCTGACTTATTTCACTTAGCATAATTCCCTTTAGATCCTTTCACATTGTCACAAATAGCAGGATTTCCTTTTCTATGGCTGAATAATAATCCATTGTGTGTGTATGTGTGTGTGTGTACACCACTTTTCTTTATCCGTGTGTATGTGTGTGTGTGTGTGTGTGTGTGTGTGTGTGTGTGTATGTGTACACCACTTTTCTTTATCCATTTATCCATCAATGGATACTTAAGTTGTTTCCATGTCTTGGCTATCATAAATAAAGCTGCAGTGGGCACAGGTGCAGATATCTTTTCAAAATAGTAATTTTATTTCCTTTGGCTAAATATTCAGAAGTAGAAATGCTGTGTCATATGATGGTTCTATTTTTGATTTTGTGAGGATCTTTTATCCTGTTTTCCATAGTGTCCTCACCAGTTTACAATGCACAGGGGTTCTTTTTTCTTCACATCCTCAGCAACACTTGTTCTTTTCTGTCTTTTTAATGATAGCCATTATAACATGTATGAGGTGATACCTTACTGTGGTTTTTATTTGCATTTTCCTGCTGATTAGTGATGTTGAACACCTTTTCATGTACCTGTTGGCCATTTGATTGTCTTCTTTGAGAAAATGTCATTTTAGTTCCTCTTCCATTTTTGAATTGGATTGTTTGCTTAATTTGCTATTGAGTTGTATGAGTTCCTTATATATTTTGAATATTAACCCCTTATCAGGTATATGATTTGCAAATATTTTCTCCCATTCAGTAGGCTGCCTTTTAATTTTGTTGATGGTGTCCTTTTCCATGCAAAAACTTTTTAGTTTGATTAGCCCTAGTTTTTCATTCTTGCTTTTGTTGCCTTTGCTTCTGGCGCCAAATCCAAAAAATGGTTGTCCAGACCAACATCAAGGTGCCTACCCCCTGTGTTTTGTTTCTATGAGTTTTATGATTTCAGGTCTTACAATGAAGTCTTTAACTCATTTTGAATTGATTTTTGTGTATGATGTAAGATTGAGGCCCAATCTCATTGTTTTACATGTGGCTATCCAGTTTCCCAAACATCATTTATTAAAAAGATTGTCCTTTCCTCATTGTATATTTTTGGTTCCTTTATTGAAAGTTAATTAGCCATCTATACATAGGTTTATTTCCTGACTCTACAGTATTCCATTCAGCTATGTGTCTGTTTTTATCCCAATATTTTGCAGTTTTTGATCAGTGTAATCCCACAAGGCAAGTCCTGTTTTCTTGAAAGAGCCTAGAAGGTGAATAGATAGCGGCATGGCAGTCTAGAGAATGAGGAGCAAGAGACTCAGAATACTTGTAGGTGACTGCTCCTAAAGGAAAGAAACCCACAGGTGGCACAAAGAAAAGGCTAGAAACCACCAAAATCGGCATGCTTGTCACAGAATTACCTGCAGTTTACTCAGGAGTCATCTCCATATTTTAAAGTGCCATGCTCTTTGATAGCAACTCAGTAAAATACCTTTCAGCTTTAAAAACTCAGTAAAGGGACACCTGGGTGGCTCAGTTGGTTAAGCAGCTGCCTTTGGCTCAGGTCATGATCCCAGCGTCCTGGGATCGAGTCCCACATCGGGCTCCTTGCTCATCAGGGAGCCTGCTTCTCCCTCTGCCTCTGCCTGCCATTCTGTCTGCCTGTGCTTGCTCTCTCTCCCTCTCTCTCTCTCTGACAAATAAATAAATAAAATCTTTAAAAAAAAAATAAAAAAAAATAAAAACTCAGTAAAAATTTAATATGATTCTCTGTGGATGGTTGTAGAGAACATGATAGTAATTTTAAAAACACATTTATTTTTCAAGAATGCAGGATCCTGCTTTAATGATTAAAGGTAAAGGGAAGAATATGCATTCAACCAGACTCAAAAGTGGAGAACAGATGCAGAGAAACAAAAAACTTGCTGGAAAAAGTGGTGAGGCATATTTGATTTCATAATTTTTTGTAATTAAGTAACTTACAGACATAGAATTCTGAATTCTATGAATTCTGGTACTGAAAAGGACTTAGAGATTATCTATCTCGACTTTCTCATTTTACTGATGAGGAAGTTCATAGAGGTTGAAGATTTTTCCCAGCATTGCACAGCTCATTTCACAGCTCATAACTAGGACTTGGTCATGAACTTCTGGCTTATTAGCTGGTATTTTTTCTATACTTCTGTTTGGAGAAAAGAGTTACAGAACCCTTTTCAAATTTAGATATGTGATCTATTTGTGGTGTGACCAACGTAGCATAAGGCTTTGAGAAATCATACTAAGAGGAATAGAGGAAAAGATAAGGCAAAATTACTGTTATTCTTTGGTGTTATTTCTCTGTTCCTATAAAACCCCAAAGAATAACCTAAGAAACTATGAGAAACCATAAGACTGTAGAAAGACTGGTTAAGATATAATAAGGAGGGGGGCGCCTGGGTGACTCAGTGGGTTAAAGCCTCTGCCTTCAGCTCAGGTCATGATCTCAGGGTCCTGGGATCAAGCCCTGCATTGAGCTCTCTGCTCAGCGGGGAGCCTGCTTCCTCCTCTCTCTCTCTCTCTGCCCGCCCTTCCGCCTACTTGTGATCTCTGTGTGTCAAATAAATAAATAAAATCTTAAAAAAAAAAGATATAATAAGGGTACAATTGGCAAAATTAAAATATGCGCTGTAGGTTAAATAATAAGATACCATTGTTAAATTTCCTAAATTTAACAAAAATTTGGTTATTTAAGAGAATGTCCTTGTTTTTGGAAAATACACACTTAAGTATTAGTGAGTAAAGGGGCATGGTGTGTGTAAATTATTTATATATATGTCTGTGTGCATGCATATATTTATATAAAAAGGGAGATAGAATGATATAAACAGATAGCAGAATACTAATAATGGGTGAATCTTTTGTTCTCTTTTTATAACTTTTTTGTAAGTCTGAATTTTTTCCAGATAAAATATTTTTAAAATTCAGTGAACTGAAACAAGACATAAGTACCTTTCATACGTGTAAGTATTACCCAGTTAGAAAAATATAGGAGAAAGTCCCATTTATAATAACTATAATGAAGAGAAAATACCTGCTCTACACCTAATAAAAAATGTGCCTTGCCCATAAGAAAAGAGTCGAAAATTCCACACAGGGACTTAAAAAAAAAAGAGAGACTTGAATAAATAGAAGAATCTTACTCTTGACCATAAGTATTCATGTAAGAAATTTATTTCTCCAAAATTACTCTATAAATGTGTGAGAGCTCAATCAAAAACAGATTTTTGTTTATTTGCTAATTGTTTTGTCTTGTTTTGCTTTATAAAGCTGGAGATTAATTATGAGAATGTTATAAAATGATACTAAGCATGAAAGACTAGCCTAGAAAATTCTGAAAAATAAAAGCACAGGGAGACTGGAGAGACAAGAACCTGCTGTACATAATATGAAAGCAATGAGAAAGCCATATAGACTAAAATAATTGGGTACAGGCACAGGAATAGACAAATAAATTTATGAAACAGAATTGAGTTTAAATGTAGAAGCCTGATACAGTGTGAATTTTGGGGAAGGTATATAATAAAGATGGCATCTCAAATTGGTAGCAAAAAAAAAGACCAAGCAGTAAATAGTAAAAACATAAACAAATTTGGATGGATATCTATAACATTCCATATACTAAATTTAATTCCATTTTGGCCAAAGACTAACTGAAAAAAAATTCTAGAAGAAAACATAAATGAATTATTTTTGTAATCTCTGAGGAGGAAAAACCTTCTTAAAGAATGACAAACCCAGAAGCCAGGAGAGAAAAGAATGATAAAATTGACTACACATATTTTTAAAAAGATTGTATGGAAAATACCCTAAAGAAAATCAAAGATTGAACACAGAAGAAATATTAATAACAATAGAAGGGGTTAATTGCATTAACATGCAGAGAGCTCTTAGAAAACAATAAAGATAAAGAAAAATAGGAAACACGAACAAGCATTTCACAGGGAAAAAAATATACATATATATAAATAACTAGGGCACCTAGTTGGCTCAGTCAGTTAAGCATCTGACTCTTGGTTTTGCCTGAGGTCATGATCTCAGGGTGGTGAGATCCAGCCCTGTATCAGGCTCCTTGCTCACCTCCGAGTCTGCTTGAGATTCTCTGCCTCTCTTTCCTTCTCCCTCTGCCCCTCCCCCTGCTTGCATGCACACACTCTCTCTCTCTCTCAAATAAATAAATAAATAAAATCTTTTTAAAAATAATTGAAAGGATTAGCATCTCCTTTATGATTTAAAAAATGTAAATTAGGAAGTACAGTTTTCACTAAGAGAATGTCAAATGTTTAAACATTTGAGAATTCCTAGTGACAAGAATATGGAAAAAGCAAGCATTCTCTTATTTTCTTGGTAATACTGTAAGTTTATTCAGTCTCTTTTTTTTAAGATTTTATTTATTTATTCAACATAGAGAAAATAGGGGGAAGACCAGAAGGAGAGGGACAAGCAGACTCTGCACTGAGCATGAAGCCTGATGTAGAGCTCAATCTCCGGACCCTGAGATCATGACCTGAGTTGAAACTAAGACTGAGACACTTAACTGACTAAGCCACCCAAGTGCCCCTGTTCAGTCTTTTCACCAGGCAGTTTATTTACATTCTTCAGACTTTTAAGTCACAATTCTTGAATTGGCAATTCTACTTAAGGGATTTATTCTGGACATTCCTGGGTGGCTCAGTTGGTTATGCATCTGGCTCTTGATTTCAATTCAGGTCATGCATGATCTCAGGGTTGTGAGATGGCTGTGTTTGATGTAGAGCCTGCTTGGGATTCTCTCTCTCCCTCTACCCCTGACCCTTCTCCCTTTCCCCACTCACATGTGCACATTCTCTTTCTCTCTCAAAACAAAACAAAAAAATGTTATGGCTATAGTAATCAAAATAGCATGACATTTCCATCAAGATAGGGAAACAGGTCAATGTAATGTAATGTACTGAGTTCCGAAATAAATCCTTGAGTTTTGACAAAGGCACAAGGCTTTTTGTGGAGGAGAATAATTAGATAACCATATGCAACAAAATGTTATTGAATGTCTCTATATATTCTAAAAATACTGTATTTTGTTTTTGCCCAAGTTACTTGAAGATCAGATTGATCCTTTCAAAACTTTTTAAAAAACCTTATTAGGTAGGTTTGGTGTAGGCTTTACAGCTAGTTTAGCCCCTTCTACTAAGACATGACCTGTTAAGGGTCTCTACTAATGCTCTGGTTGTTACCAAGGTCACTCTCCTCTGGCTGTCAGGAATGTACATGTTTCCCAGCTGGTGTGATATCTCAGGCTTGTTATTTTATAGTTCTTGGGTAGTTGTTCTTACCCAGCCTCATGAAGCCTCAACCTGCGTATGAGCACTGTAGTATTTAGAAAGTGATAAAGGAGTCCCTTTTGTAGATTTCTGGTACCTGTTCTCTCTTCCCTCATCTCTGGTACCCTACTGTGCAAAATCTAATCACCCTAGCCTCCTGAAACTTAAATTTCTATTTCCTCAGCTCAGAAGCTTCACCTTGCTATGCTTGTGCTATATTCTGGAAAGTGCCTCCAGACAGCTCAGTCTGTTGTTTCCCTTCTCTGGAAGGAGTCATAGATCTGAATTGCCTGTTTTCCAGTGTCTTAATATAGGTTTTTTTTTTTTTAATCAATATATTTTGTCTAGTTTTTTTAGTTGTTTGCAATGGAAGGGCAAGTCATGGCAATTCTTAAGTTGTGATTGGAAGTGAATGTCTTCTCCATCTTAGTTTTCATTGAAAAATTTTGTATTCTTAATTTGTTATTTTTTTTTTAAAGATCTTATTTATTTATTTGACAGACAGAGATCACAAGTAGGCAGAGAGAGAGAGAGAGGAGGAGGAGGCAGGCTTCCTGCCAAGCAGAGAGCCCGATGCGGGGCTTGATCCCAGGACCCTGGGATCATGACCCGAGCCGAAGGCAGAGGCTTTAACCCACTGAGCCACCCAGGCGCCCCCTTAATTTGTTATTTCTAATAAATTACATAACTAGCAAGTACAACTGGCGAAAACAGATCTTGAAGTAAAGACTACTTTTTTGGTAAATACAGTTTATCTGGTAGGAGCAGAATGCATTGTAGTTTTGAGTGGGACAAGACAGGCTCAAATGTTCAGAAGTTGGTTTATTTTTCAGTGGAACTGAATGGAGGGAATCTAATAAAGACAAAGCAGATAAATTGTGATCCATTAAAAAATGTGCTGCTGGGATGCCTGGGTGGCTCAGTGGTTTAAAGCCTCTGCTTTCAGCTCAGGTCATGATCCCAGGGTCCTGAGATTGAGCCCCTCATCAGGCTCTCTGCTCAGTGGGGAGCCTGCTTCCTCCTCTCTCTCTGCCTGCCTCTCCACCTACTTGTGATCTCTGTCTCTCTGTTAAATAAATAAATAAAAATCTTTTTTAAAAAATGTGCTGCTATACTCAGTTACTTTTGTGAGATTTTAGGATGGGGCAGATTAGCTAGATCAAAATTATAAAAGCTATCATCAGAGTTATTCTGAAATTCAGGAAAACCAAATGAACTAGTATCCATTAAAACTGACAGGATTTTGAGTATCAGTATTTTAGGAGAGACAGTGAAGAAATAATACCTGATATGCATAACCTGGGAATCTATTTTAATTGTCTATTACCTGGCTTAGGAAATAAAACTATTGTACAGATCAAGATCATATTTCTTTATTTAATTTTGGAACAACTATTTGTAGCAAAGAAAGAAATTTAACATTCCTTTACTGGCCTCATTGTGTTTAATTTCAGTATCTTCCTTGTGTATGTCTGAGATTTTTTCCTCATGGTGGTGTATCACATTTTAGCACTATGGTATCTTGTTGGGTTTAATGACAATCTAATTCTAGATTTAAATAATCGTTTTCACCAGAACTTTTAAGAAAGTAATCTGTTAGTCTTCTCACGTATGCACTTTCATGGGGTTTCAATAAACATAAACTGCTTACATGATTTATAATATACTGCAAGTATTTTCAAACTAATGACATTTTTCCTTTTATCTTTTTGCATGTAGATAACATTATAGTTGGGTTTATGGATGAAATACTCTTTTATAATACAATTCCAGAATGTTGACTGGATTCACTCTATTACCTGTATTCTTCCTAGTTTTCAAATAGGGATTATTACTTTTTGTTCTCTTTTGTTTATCCCCTCCTTTCAGAAAAAATGAAGAGGAATGAAATATCTCTATCTAGCATTAACCGTAGAAACATCTTTGGAGAGAACTTACTGTATCAGGCTGCTCTGCATAATGACATTGATCTTGTTCGTCATTATATAATGAAAGGAGGAAGTATTAATCAGCCAAGTTATGCTGGTAAGTTGGGGTTACCACACAATTATCTTGAGAGTGGTTTGTAGTTTCTGCTTAGTCACTCCTATGAAAGTATGACAATGTGGGTGTAAGGCAAGTCTCAAACAGAAAGCTTCCAGGTGATTTTTCTGCTTAGGTAGTTCATCACCATCTTCTCCCAGGAAAGTGGTAAGATGGGGAGGGAGGGAGAAGGACATTGTATTTCACCTTCAAAGATTATGCCTGCCTAAGGCCTACCAGGTGGGCCAGGTGCAGTGACCTTCCACAGAAGGATGCTGTTCCTGTGGCTGACTTGCTGGCATTGCATGGGCATTGTTACTATGAGACTCAACTTTCAATGGAAGAGAAGTGAGCTCAAAAGCTGAAAGAAGCTGATGGTATGGTGAGCTATGGGGGAAACCAAGATAACATGGTAGATGTACAGCAGGACCAATGGCCAGGGATATGGAGAGAACAGAGTACAAGGTAGAAGGGGTGGGACAGGGAGCTCAGAACATTTCTTTCTGCAAGGCTGATCTCTGGTATTGTCTTTTTTATGGAGAAAAACTGATGTTCTCCTGGACAAGAAAGATTCCTTAAGGACACCTAAGTACAAGGCACTTAGCAACACTAGGCTACTCTGGGTAGTGCCTTTATGTATCCATAATTTTACTAGTGTTTCTAGACTTTTTCAGTTTATGAAGCAGTATGAAAAGTCTTATGATGCACAGGGATGAACAGCATAGTCCATGGACAAACAGGTGATTATACTTACTTTAGCAAAGCCTGGATTTATATGATAATCAGGGTTTTAACAGGCTGTTACTCTAAATCCCATACCCAAGTGAACTACCTCCGTCACTTACTAGCCAAAGCACTTGCTTCCTTACAAAATGTGTGGTACTTGCTATTTGTCTCTATCTGCTCCTTAAGTTCAGTAGTAGCTCTAACTTTACTTTATGGACTTCTCAAGAATCTCATAACATATTTCTTTTCATTAGCCCTTTTTTGTGCCACTGTTAACATCCTTGGTGTCTCTTCTCTGCTTGTCTTCAGTCATTTATTGTGCACATTCTCCTCACTGCCCCAGATACTTCTGTGATCTTAATGAATTCTTTATCCTTAATATACTTTCCTGGCTTTTTGAACTCTCTTGTTCTCTACTTTTCCTTCTCACTTGGCATCTTAGCTCTGATCTTTATATCTGGCTATTCCATCTTATAAAATTGCAGAGGGTACTGTTTTTAAAGACTTGACTACAACCATTTTCATCAGAGTCACCTGCAATGTTTGTTTAAAATGCAATTTGTTTAAAATGTTTATTTCACCCTCCAAAACACACACATGCACACACACACATACATACACACAGTCTCACAATTAAAATCTGTAGGTTAATGCTCTCTGTCAAATAAATAAATAAAATCTTGGAAATCTATAGGTTGAAACCTTGAAATCTGCATTTTAACATATTTCCTCAGGTGATTTGTATTCTCAGTGAAGTTCAGGAACTACTGGTAAGAGATATATGACCTTCATATAATATACCAGTTCACTGTAGTCAGCTTTTATAGTATGCCCCTTATGTGCCAGATATTGTAAAAACAGAAAGATATGTATACTAGAAAAGTTTGGCTGTATTCTGTGATACAGTCCAAGAAAGGATAAGTGCCTTTTGAGAAATTAATAAGATGTTATAATAACAGACCGAAGGTCTTGTCATAGGTAACATTTGCATTGTAAGTCCTCATTTACATTTTATGATATCTTTGTCTTTGATTAAAAAAAACAAAACAAAACAATGCAATCGTTCTTTACCTATCAAAAACAAGGGTGAAACCAGAAAGTAGGCTGAAGAAACTGAATACCCAAAAACAGATCTCATAAAGCTTCTTTGCTAAAACCCTCTCAAACCAATGCCTTGAGCATTATTTTACAAAGAATTCTATCTGACTCCTAAGTCTGTCGCACATTAGAACTGAAAGGAAAGGTTGGCACAGTCCAGGATATTGATAATAGCAAGAAGCTTAATAGCAAGGCAAGAGATAGATAAAAACATAAAAATGAGAGGCGACATTGTTGAGGACTGTATAACACAGAAAAACATGCACTTACACCTCTGTGGGTGTTAACAGTTGCTATGTTAGCGCCTATAAGAAATATTATGATCTTTATTTAAAATTTGTTATTTTTTCTTTCTGGGAAATTTATTATCTTACAAAGCTTTAGAGAGATTTCCTTTAAGATGGTTAAATTTTCAAAAAGAAAAAAATTGTTCTTTTTAAAATTTTATTTATTTTACTGAGAGAGACACAGTGAAAGAGGGAACACAAGCAGGGGGAGCGGGAGAGGGAGAAGCAGGCCTCCTGCAGAGCAGGGAGCCTGACACTGGGCTGGATCCCAGGACCCTGGGATCATGACCTGAGCAGAAGGCAGACAGACGCTTAACAACTGAGCCACCCAGGCGCCCCTGTTTTTGTCCATTTTAGGAAACTAATTTTTATTTTAGCTTAAGCAAAGCCTAAATAAGGAAAGGAAGTTTCCTAGGAAGAAATTCATCATCTACATTCCAAAGTTAATAACTTTTGGATTTCTTATATTTCATTTTTCATGCTAGACTTGTGGCAGATAATCAGGTTAACCAGTATACACATTGATAAATTTCTGCAGGTCCTGAAACCTAAATGAATTCACACTTTTTATCAAATACTATTAGAGGGAGATATTTTTTATATTCTGTTTTTAAAAATAGGTAGTTCCTGGGGTTCCTGGGTGTCTCAGATGGTTGGATGTCTGCCTTCAGCTCGGGTCATATCTCCGGGCCCTGGGATCAAGCCCTACATCAGGCTCCCAGCTAAGCGGAGAGTCTGCTTCTCCCTCTGATGCTCCCCACTGCTTGCGCGCTCGCTCTCTCTCTCTCTCTCAAATGAATAAAAAAATAAAACAGGTAGTCCTTAAGTGGTTATGTTTCAAAAGTTCACATGTGAAGTTCAATTCATTTGAAATTTCTTGTAACATTATGGAAAATTTCAAACGTACTGAAAAGTTAAAAGAATTCCACATTAAGCTTCCAGAAACCTCATACCTAGATTCTATGTACTTATTTTTATTGCGTACTTACTATCAAGGAAAAATACTCATGTATTTCTCCTCTACTTACATTCATAACACTTCTGATACCAGATGTATGGGATTTTTGACACATCAAGCAATTCTCCAACACCACCTGGGTGTCCTGCAATTTAGTTCATTTCTGACACTAACCCAAATTAGTACAGAACACACAGGTTAAGGGATCAGTCAGCCACCCCCACTTCAGATGCCAGTCACAAGTAGTAGGTCCCTGGATTACCCACAATTTTTGTTCAACTTGGCTACAAACTGGAGGTTCCCATGATCCTTTCCTCAAATTTGATCTTTTCCTAAAATAGTTAACAGAACTTAGGGAAACACGTTTACCATATAAGTTTATTATATAATAAAGGATATGACAAAGGATACAGAAGAATGCCCAGATGAAGATACAGAATCAGGCCTGGTAGGGTCCTGAGCACAGGAGCTTCTATTCCTTGGGAATTGGAATATGTTACCTTCCCAGCATGTAGATGTGTTGACCAACCTGGAAAAGTTCTCTGAACCCCAGAGTTTGGGGATTTTTATGAAGGCTTCATCATGAAGGCAGGGCAGGGGAGAAGGGGATGTGGAACTGAAACTTAAAAGTTTCTTACCATGACTTAGTCTTTCTTAGGACCAGCCCCCATCCAGGAGCCCTACAGAAGTTGCCTCATTAAGACAAAAGATACTTCTCTAACCTAGGGAATAGCAAGGAATTTAGGACCTCTGTGTCATATACTTCTATCACTTATGAAACTGCAAAGGTCTTGGGGGTTCTGTATGAGGAGCTTGGGTGAGATACCAAATACTAGAACAGAAGACTGTCCTAGCACCCCTGTTTATTAGAGTTTAGGAGCTTTGTGCCTGGAATCAGGGAGCAGAGACTAATAAATATTTCTTATTTCATTCCTATCCATCTTTAAATCTCTCTCTGTCCATCAGTCCATCTTTATGTTGATGCACTTCAAAGAAAGTTGGTGCATTTTACTACAGAACACCTCAACATTAATATCTCTTAACTAGCTAGAGTTCAATAGTCTTTTTTTCTTTTTGAAAAGTAAAATTTTCATACTGTAAAATACAGATCTTAAATGTGCTGTTTGATGAATTTTAACAAATATATTCACCTGTGTAACCCAAACCTCTATCATGATAGAATATTACCAACATTCCACAAATTTCCCTCAGGCCTCTTCCCAGTCATTCCCCATCCCCACTCTCTAGAAGCCACTATTGTTCTGATATTTCTCTGATATTTTTCACTATTTCTGGTAGTTTTGCCTCTTCAGTATTTCACCATTAATCATGAGGTTAGCTGTAGGTTTTATAGCTGCTCTTTATATTGAGGAATCCATTCCTAATTTCTTGAGTATTTTTTATCAGGAATGGATCCTGGGTCATAATAAATCATGCTCTTATATATTGTTAGATACATTATGCTACTATTTTGTTAAGGATTTTTGCATGTATGATCATGAGTCATACTAGCCTGTAATTTTTTGTTGTTGTAATGCTTTTGTCTGGTTCAGGATCAGGATTTGCTAATATTTTGTTAAGGATATTTTTGTAACCTATATTCATAGGTAATATTGGTTCATAATTTTGTTGTAATGATTTTGGTATTGGTATCAACGTTATGTAGACTTCATAAAATGAGTTAAGAAATATTCTCTTCTAGTTTCTGGAAGAGTTTGCTTAAAACTGGAAGTTTTTTCTTAAATGTTTGACAGAACTTAGAGTGAAACTATGAGAGCATATAATTCTTTCTCTGTAATTATTTTTTGTTTCATCTTGTGTCAGTTTTGGTAAGCTGTACTTTTTTAGGGTCACCTGAGTGGCTCAGTTAGTTAAGTGGTACTTTCTTAAGGAATTTGTCCTTTTTATCTAAGTTATAGAATTTATTGTCATAAAGTTATTTATAATATTTCCCTATTATTGTTTTAATATCTATAGATCTTTAGGGATATTTATCTTTCCTGATATTGTTCATTTCCTCTCTTCCTTCTTTCCTTTCTCTTTTTTTTTCTTTCCTTCCTAAAGTAGTTAAGGTAGAAGATTATCAACTTTATTGCTTTTTTTTTTTTTTTTTTTCAAAGAACTAACATCTGGCTTTAAATTTTTCTCTCATCTGTATTAAATGCTATTAATTTCTGCTTCTTTTGACCTCTGCTTATTTTGGGTTAATTTTTTTCTTTATCTAGCTTCTTAAGGTTAAAAATGAGGCCATAGATTTTTGTACATTTTTCCCTGCTATGGTCATTTAAAGCTTTAAATTTCCCTCTAAATACTGCTTTTGCTAAATCCAACAGATTTTAATATGTTATATTTTCATTATCACTCACTTTGAAATACTTTTAATTTTTGTATGATTATTTGTTTGACCCCAAGATTATATTAGAAGTTGTTAAATTTTCAAATATTTGAGGATTGTCTGGGCATGTTTCTGGTATTGATTTCTAACTTCATTCCTTTGGTTAAAGGAATATACTTTCTGTGAATTTGATCCACTTACATTTATTGAGAGTGGCCTGTTGCCTAGTATGTGGTCTTTCTTGCTTAATATCCCTTGTATACTTGAATGTTTATTCTTCAATTGTATCTAATGTTCTATAAATGTCATTTAGATGAAGATGGTAATATTCAGATCATGTCTGTATTTATGGATTTTTTTGTCTAGTCAAGCTATCATTTTATGAGAAGAGTGTAGAAATATTAACAACTGTGATTGTGGATTGTTGGTTTCTCCCTTTAATTCTGTTTTTGCTTGTATTTTGAAATTTTGTTATTAGGTTGTAACTCTCATGTCTTCTGATAATCGACCTTTTAATTATTATAAAATACCTCTCTTTATCTCTGGTAATATACTTTGCCTTGAAGCTACTTTATATGATATCAATATAAGCATCCTAGCCTTCTTATGTTTCTCGTCTGTTTGCTATGTCTTTTTCCATCCTTTTATTTTCAACCTATGTCTTTTTTTTTTTAAGATATTTATTTATTTATTTACCTGACAGAGATCACAAGTAGGCAAAGAGGCAGGCGGGGGGCGGGGGGCAGCAGGCTTCCCGCTGAGCAGAGAGCCTGATGCAGGGCTTGACCCCCGGACCCTGAGATCATGACATGAGCTGAAGGCAGAGGCCTAAGCCACTGAGCCACCCAGGTGTCCCATCTATGTCTTTTTATTTAAAATTTGTTTCTTGGATGCCTGGGTGTCTCAGTGGCTTAGGCCTTTGGTTCAGGTCATGATCCCAGAGTCCAGGGATGGAGTCCCGCATCAGGCTTCCTGCTCAGCGGGGAGTCTGCTTCTCCCTCTGACCCTTCCCTCTCTCGTGCTTTCTCTCTCTTACTCTTTCTCAAATAGATAAATAAAATCTTTAATAAATAAATAAAATTTATTTCTTACAGACAGCATATTTCTTAAAGACAGCTTCTTTATCCATTCTGACAATCTCTGCCTTTTAATTGGGGTGATTAATCAATTTTCATTTCATATAAAAGATTGGATTGAGGACTACAATTTTACTAATTGTTTCTTGTGCACATTCCCCCCGCTTTGTCCTTGCATTATTTTGAAGTAGTTACTCTGGTGATTGCAATATATGTCTTTGATGTTTCAGTCTTTTTAGAGTTAGTATGTTAATATTTCTATAAAATGTAAAAACATTGAACACGTCTCCCTTTTGTGTGTGTATATATATAGATATATAGCAAATCTGTATACATTAATAACACCAAAATATAGTGTATAATATTCAATTTAAATAGTCACATGCATTTTAAGGAAATTTATAGGGGACAAAAAACTTGTATTAACTATATATTTACCATTTTTGATACTCTTCATTTCTTCCTCAAAGCTCTCTAATTAATAATATAGGAGAAACTGCTTCCATAACATTTTATGACAGTGGGTCTTAATTGGAGTGATACCACCTTTCAGGAGACATTTGGCAATTACTGGAATCAATTTTAGTTGTTACAACTGGAATGGGGATGGGGTGTTATTGGCATCTAATAAAATGCTCAGAACCACAAAGAATTATCCACCCCAAAATGTTAGTACTGAGTTAAAGAACCCCGGTTTATGGAGAAGGTTCTGGAAGGAGTTAGTGAAATATACTTTTAAAATGTAGCATTTAGGCTTTCTTTCATTAATCCTGTGATTTATTGGAATTTAATAAATATAACTTATACCTTTGTCTCTTGCTAACAAGGATAAAGGATACTTTTCTGTGTGACTGGTTTTCTTAAAACAGTTGGTATTAGAATTGCTGTAATTAGGGATGCCTGGGTGGCTCAGACAGTTAAGCATCCAATTCTTGGTTTCAGCTCAGGTCATGATCTCAGGGTCCTGAGATCAAGCCCTACATCTGGCTCTGTGCTCAGTGTGGTGTCTGCTTGTCCCTCTCTTCTCACTCTGCCTCTCACTACACTCTGTCTCTCAAATAAATAAATAAAATCTTTAAAAAAAAAATACTATAAATAGCTTTTTACAAATAAGGAGAAAAGAGGGATGCCTGGGTGGCTCATTTGGTTAAGTGGCTGCCTTTGGCTCTGGTCATAATCCTGGGGTCCTGTGCTCAAGCCCCACATCGGGCTCCCTGCTCAGTAGGAAGCCTGCCTCTCCCTCTCCCTTTCCCAATCCCCCTGCTTGTGTTCCCTCTCCTGTTGTCTCCGTTTTGTCAAATAAATAAATAAAATCTTAAAAAAGAAAAAACAAATGAGAAAAGAAATGTATGTTTTTGAAGTGACTTCTGTGTATTCCTACCAGCTAGGTTACTTTAATGGAAGTACCTTGAGCTATAAATAGTACCCCCCCCTTTTCTACAGAAAAGTAACCTGCAGCTGGCATTCTCTGTGAGCCAATAATGACTCCTTTACAGCCTTTTTATTTGAGGAGGGCAGGAATAGTTTCAAATATTTTACTTCTTTAAGAAAATTTACTTCTTTTTATATTTTTTCACAATTGAGTTTTTCACAATTGAATTTCACAATTTACTTATTTATGTATTTCTTCACAAGTAATTTGGGGCTATGAATTTGATTTGTTCCTCAGATTTATTGAATGCATCTGATAATACAAGTTATTTTCATGGTAAGATTATCATCTCATATAATCAAAATACTTTTAAAGAAACAACAGTTTTTATTTAAAGGGCAAGCACTAAACATTAAGATAGCAAACATAAACAAATTCCATTTCCTTTTTGTATAATAGGTTGGACAGCACTTCATGAAGCTAGTGTGGGAGGATTTTATCAGACAGTAAGTGAACTATTAAAAGGTGGAGCAGATGTAAATATCAAAGGAATGTACCAGATTACTCCCCTACATGATGCTGTCATAAATGGACATTATAAGGTACTGTGATGCTTTTGTTTGCAAAACAAATACTATATTCTGCAGGTATTAAAAATCTCTGGAACCTCAGTTTTAGGAATTCAGTTTTAGTTCATTCGGCTAGTGGATACTTGGACTATGTAATAAAATAGTACTATGTGATGATTTGTTGTTCCTAATATGGTAGATGCCATTTTACATGTTACTTTTAATAAGTACAGATCATGTTTTGGTTATATGTAATCTTTTTAAAATTAAACATCTTTAAGACTCTTCAATAAGGTGCTTTAAAGGTTTTAACATGAAGTTTCCTACTTGTAGATTGTTACACAGTGATGTCCAGTCTTGATAGGAGGCATCCAGCTTTATGAGCACTAATTGTCACTTTCAGAGACCACATAAAACCTGAATCTCTTGGGTTTAATGATCTGTCAGTATATACCAGCATAGATGTACCAGTGGTTAAAATATCAAAATACTATAGTTCCATACAAATTGGTTAATAGTAGCTGCGGTTAAGATGACTGATCCTAGCACATACAGTTTATTTCTGATGATTGATCACAGCAAATACACATACAGGCTCTAAGCCTCCTAGACATTTTTCTGGTCTAGGCACTACACTATAGGACTGAGGCACTTGCTAAAAATATCCTGTTATTTATTTTGGGTATTTTAAGTTTCCTCTGGGTTCAGATTCCTGGAGTAGGAGATGGAGCTAATTAGCTGGGCTCAGCAAGTTATGTTCTACATACTTCCAGAAGAAATACCTGACAGGTAGAGCTGGAGATGGCTGCCGGGAGCCACAGGTAGATAGACAGATAGAGCATATCCCTTTCTAATGTGAAATAGTACTTCAGGAAAGTTTAGGCTGTTTTGCCTTTTTTCCTAATATATCACTTGCTTGTAGGTGTTCACCCCTGCACATTGTAGAGAGGGCTGGGGGGAGAGAATTCTGCTTGGGACCTAATTTAATGGCCAGAAGAATGCAGGCTTAGACAAGTGATAGTGTGAGCCTTCTCTGTCCTTTACCCCATCTTCAAAGCTGGCCTCCATTAGAGAAACCTCATGCCAAGGATTCTTCCTTCTCCTCATGGCCCATCTGTTGTTGAACTTGTCAGGGCTGACCTATCCTAGTCTTAGGGTCCGTGATCAAAGAACGAGACTGATTAAAGCAAAAATCAAACAAAGCTTTATTTCACGCCAAGCATCAAAAATCAAACTGACCGGTCGGGGCCGTCTCTTACAAAAAGGTGACGACGATGACCCCGGCAATTCCACTCCCAACGTGGCTGCTCTGGATAAGGCCTTTCTGTAGATGAGGCCACTCTGGACGAGGCCACTCCCAGGACGAGGCCGCAGCTGATGAGGTCGCTCCTCAGGGCTGCTCCCCGGAAAGGCTGCTCACAAAAAGAGGCCACTCTGGAGGAAGCCTCTTTCCTGACAATGCTGCCTCCCACAGGGCTGCTCACCGAGGAAGCCTCTTTCCAGATGAAGCCGCTCCCCGGAATGGCGCAGCTCCAGCGAGGCTGCGGCTCAGGGTATCAAGGCCGCTCCTGGCAGCGAGGCTGTTCGCAGCGAGGTTGCTGGTGTCTAGGTCATTCCCCTCTGTGTGTCAGCGGGGTCGCTGGTGTCGGGACCGCTGGCGTCTCGGCTGCTGCTGGAGTGCTGGGACCGCTGGCGTGCTGGGACAGCTGGCATCAGGACTGCTGGCGTGTGGACCGCTGGCATCTCGGCTGCTGCTAGAGTGCTGGGACCGCTGGCGTCGGGACCAGGGGCTGCAGGCGTCGGAGCTGCTGGCGGCTCTGGGCCGCTGGCGGCTCTGGTGCAATGGCAGGTCCGCTGCGGGTGGCTCCGCTGCTTCCCGTGGTGCCACTGCTTCCCATGGTGCCGCTGCCAGAGCCGCGGTGTGGGCGGGGCTGCAGGCGTCAGAGCTGCCAGCGGCTTGGGGCCGTTGGCGGCTCGTCTAGCTCTGACAAAAGCTGTCACACTCTCACAGCTCTTACAAGAGCTGTTACAAGCTCCTACAGCTCTTAATGAGAGCTGCGACAGCTCTTATAATCTTATAAGAGCTGTCACAGCTCTCTTTCTTCTGCTCCCGCGGACTCTCCTTCTTCTGCTCCTGCCGACTCTTCTGCTGCTTCTCCTGCCCACTCTTCTCTTTGCTGCTTCCTCCAACTCTTCTCTGCTTTTTCTTCCTTCTTCTTCTTCTGACAGCTCTCCTTCCACACCCCTCACCAGCCTCGCATACCAACCTTTATGGGGGTGGTTGAGCCCCGCCCCTACACAGGTAGCCAATTGAATCCTAATTCACCCAGTGGATATACCCACGCCACACCGATTGTACGTCTTCACCCGGCCTGCCCCGCCCCTACTTCCAGGGTCCACAAAGCTAGTTACTCTGGGAGGGGCAGGCCCTTACACTAGTCAAGAGTCTTTTTGCCCTTTGGACAAGGTAAGCTCTGAGCACTTTAATTTTTCTTCTTTTCATTCTCAGTTGTTCTTTTGTCCCATCTGGTAACTTGGCTTTAGTCAATTTCTGCCTCCTGGGTTAGAACCAGCTATCTCCTTTCTGGCCTTTGCAGATATGTAGCCTTCTCCTACTCCATCAGTGAAGTAAAAGGGACCAAAGACACATGCCTCTGACCCAGAATCTCTTTTCTGCACTACCTCTCTCACTCCCACTTGCCAAACTATGTGTTCTTGGGGCTCATGTACTTCTGGCACTGTGGCATGTCCAGACTGATGGCAGGAGAAAAGAGAATGACAAGACAGAAGTGGAAGCCTAGAGAATGGTCATGAGAATTAAAAGCTAAAACCCAGTGGAACGGGATGAAATCACTGTTTTCTTCATTCCCTTCCCTTTTTGTTTAGCTGGGGGTTGGGAGGAGCCAGAAAGTTATTTAATGTAGTCCAAGAGAGATTCCCAAAGTGCCAGGTCAGTTCTGGACTGACTTAAGAACCAAAGCCTTAAGAATCAAAGTAAGGCAGAACGTTGTTTTGGAGGATGGAGTAGGGATGACGAGAGCATCAGATGAGTATCTAGGCTAACCTTGGGGGAATCTCTTATGTGATGCAAAGTTGATCAGAAAAATGGTATAGACCCTTAGTATTGTATTGTCCCATGACTTCCTTGTCACAGGACTAAGGTGTCAGACAGGGAAGTCCTGGGAACCTGATGCTGGACTCAGCACCTAGAGAGTGTGAGCTTAAATATTCCAGAGTTGAAGAAACTTGAATATATATTGTCTTATAGGAATTGACTTTCATACTAAGAGATGGAACATACTAAAAGATAATACCCTGTTTTTTAAGAATTAAAAAACCATCAATATTTGCAGAAGTCCAAATCTTTAGAGACAGAAAGAAGATTAAGAATGAAAGGTAGAGAGTAGAGAATGGAGAATAATAACAGGTCATGGTTAAAGGGTTTCTTTTGGGGGATATTAAAATAGTTTTGAAATTGGCGATGCCTGGGTGGCTTAGTCAATTGGGTGTCTGCCTTCAGCTCAGTTATGATCCCAGGGTCCTGGGATCAAGTCTTGCATCAGCCTCCCAGGGAGCCTGCTTCTCGCTCTGCCTGACACTCCCCCTGCTTGTGCTCTGTCAAATAAATAAATAAAACCTTAAAAACAATGTTCCAAAATTAGATTGTGGTTATAGTTATACAACTCTCTTAATATACTAAAGAATATTGAATTATATTTTTTAAATGGGTGAATTATATCTCACTAAAACTGTTAAATACATTTTTTAAATTGAAAAAACGAAATTTGAGAATTGTAGATGATTGGCTCATTCTGATTCCTTAGAAAAATCAAGAATAAATTATTAGACATAAGGGATACATTTAGACAAGAATATAGTTACCTGACCCCAAATTGCCAAGGAAATATTGAAAAAGAAAAAACTGGAGGCATCTCATTGCTTGATTTCAAGCTATATTACAAAAATGTGATCACCAAGACAGCACGGTATTGGCACAAAACCAGACACGTAGGTCAATGGAATAGAATAGAGAGCCCAGATACAGACCCTCAACTCTATGGTCAACTAATCTTCGACAAAGCAGGAAAAAATATCCAATGGAAAAAAGACAGTCTCTTCAATAAATGGTGCTGGGAAAATTGGACAGCTATATATGGAAGAATGAAACTCAGCCATTTGCTTACACCGTACACAAAGATAAACTCTCTATGGGTGAAAGCCCTCAATGTGAGACAGGAATCCATCAAAGTCCTAGAGGAGAACATAGGCAGTAACCTTTTTAACATCGGCTACAGCAACTTCTTTCAAGACACGTCTCCAGAGGCAAGGGAAACAGAAGTGAAAATGAACTTCTGGGACTTCAGGTAAAAAGCTTCTGCACAGCAAAGGAAGCGGTCAACAAAACAGAGACAACCCACGGAATGGGAGAAGATATTTGCAAGTGACACGACAGACAAAGGGCTGATATCCAAGATCTGTGAAGAACTTCTCAAACTCAATGCCCAAAAAACAAATAACCAAGTCAAAAAATGTGCAGAAGATATGAACATACACTTCTCCAAAGAAGACATATAAGTGGCTAACAACACATGAAATAATGTTCATCATCATTAGCCATCAGGGAAATCAAAACCACATTGAGATACCACCTTACACCAGTTAGAATGGCAAAAATTGACAAGGCAAGAAACAACAAATGTTGGGAAAGTTGTGGAGAAAGGGGAACCCTCTTACACTGTGGGAATGTAAGTTGGTGCAGCCACTTTGGAACAGTGCGGAGGTTCCTCAAAAATTAAAAATAGAACCACCCTATGCAGTACTGGGTATTTACCCCAAAGATACAAATGTAGTGAAAAGAAGGTCACATCCATCCCAATGTTCATACCAGCAATTTCCACAATACCCAAACCATGGAAAGAACCAAGATGTCCTTCAACAGACAGATGGATAAAGAAGATGTGGTCATATACACAATGGAATATTACTCAGCCATCAGAAAGGATGAATACCCAACTTTTGCATCAACGTAGATG